AGATGTCAGACAGATGTTGAACAGATGTTAGGACCAGATGTTGGACAGATGTTGGACAGATGTTAGGACCAGATGTCAGACAGATGTTGAACAGATGTTAGGACCAGATGTTGGACAGATGTTGGACAGATGTTAGGACCAGATGTCAGACAGATGTTGGACAGATGTTAGGACCAGATGTTGGACAGATGTTGGACAGATGTTGAACAGATGTTAGAGGCCAATCAGAAACATGTGGATAGTTTTCTTTGTGCCTTTTCTTCATTCTGCAATAAAAAAAGTATCAAACTGTATTTTTCTCTGTTTTTCTTCAGTGTCTCGTGTTTCACTGGTTCAGTTTGATGTTTGTGACGTCAATAATCCTGATGATGTCATGTCAGCTGCTGGCCACCAGGTGGCAGCAGCACACTGTCAGATCCACAACAGGTTCTGGACTGGTTCTGTTCATTCTGGTCTCAGAGGATCCACCTGGATCTGACCCTGTTTTTAGACCCTGGACAGGTGTGTGTGTGTGTGTGTGTGTGTGTGTGTGTGTGTGTGTGTGTGTGTGTGTGATCCTTCTCTGATTGACATGACTGACAGATGAAGCCCCGCCCCCTGCAGGATCAGCCTGTCGGAGGATTATGAGTCTGCAGGTCAGATGTTTCTCTACAGGAAATGAAAATGTTCTCCTAATTTAACCAGATTGATTTATTACAGATTATAAATCAATCTGTATCAATCATTATCAATCATAATCTGTAATCCAGGAGCTGACACTGCTCTTCATCCTCCTCATCCTCCTCATCCTCACATCTGCAGCAGATGTTTTAATAAGTTTCACAGAACAGGTAAAGATGAGGTCATTTAGTTTTTTCTTCCAGGTGAGGAGGAGGAGGGGCTACCAGCAGACCCCCGAGTCTTCATCAGGTCTGAGGACTTTAACCCAGGTTCTGCTCCTCAGCTTCAGGACCAGGATCCAGTTCTGGCCCATCTGAAGGTTCTGGATCCAGTTCCCATCAGGCTGGAGGAGAGGAGGACCTCTGACCTTCATCAGACCCTGGGATCCAACCAGTCTGTGAGACAGGAAGTGAAGGAGGACGGGGGTCTCAGAGGGTCCTGGGGGGTTCCAGAGGACAGTTCCTGTCTGTAATCTGGGCCCTGTGGAGGACAGAACAACACTAAAGGTTTAATCTGATAAATGAGGAGGCGGAGCTTCATCTGATTAAGATTAGGACCAGGTCTCACACTGAACAATCCTCCAGACTCACCTGGTCCTCTACAGACCAAGTCCTGCTCACACTGGGGGACTGGGTCTGAACCAGAGACAGGTGTCTGCAGGACCAGACTCTGAAGACCATGTCCTGGTTTCTGTCCCTGTCTCAGGCTGCTTTGTGGGTCACAGTGGGACCGGACTATGGCTGGACCCCCTCCAGGTCTCCACACATTAATCCAGTCTGACAGCTGGGTTCCTCTGGTCCTGGTTCAGGTCTCTGATGATCTGCTGGGGGGGTGGGGTGGGGGGTGTCTGATTGATGAGGACCAGCTCAGTGGGACCTGGTTCTGTTGCTGCAGCAGTACATTCATCTAATGGTTCTGATGGGTCCAGAGTGAAACTAACATGCAGAACCACACCTGGACCAGGACCAGAACCAGAACCTAAACCCCTCCTGAGGTGTTTATACTTCATACATATTTGTATTTTATTTAACAGAACTTAGTGCTGTTAGGTTTGTTTTTGTTTGTGAGTTTTAATCATTGCCTGATGACAGAAACACAATATCATCATCATCATCACCATCACCATCATCATCATCANCCCCTCAGAGTTCTGGGACCCCTCAGAGTTCTGGGACCCCTCAGAGTTCTGTTTAGTCTCAAACATTTCGTGTTAAATCAGAACTAAACGTTTGTATTATGAAATGTTCAGATTTATGACTTTATGATTAATTAGTTTGTAGACAGGAATCAGACTTCTGACTGAGCGTAGCTGCAGGCTCCGCCCACCTTCACAGGTAACCTCAGAGTGTCAGCTGATTGGTCGGTGAGCAGAGTGACGATCAGACGTGACTTCAAACAGGTCCAGAACCTTCAGGTCCTGGTACCGAGCTGAATCTGTCACTGCTGATGGATCAGGACTCATCAGAATCCTTTGTTCTGTTCTTCAGCTGCTTCCTGTCCAGACTTTTCAGATTAAAGTTCCACATGGCCCATGTCAAAATAAAAGCATGGGACAGAGAGGTTCTGACGTTCATGCGGGTCATGAACCTGTTACATAGTGTTGGTGAGGAGGTCCAGAGGTTCTGGAGAACTAAAGCTGGGTAGTTTCCAGGTGAGCTTCACCTGCTTGTTGAGAGAACGTTTAAACCAGGTTAGGACCAGATGTTGGACAGATGTTGGACAGATGTTGGACAGATGTTAGGACCAGATGTTGGACAGATGTTGGACAGATGTTAGGACCAGATGTTGGACAGATGTTGGACAGATGTTGGACAGATGTTAGAGGCCAATCAGAAACATGTGGATAGTTTTCTTTGTGCCTTTTCTTCATTCTGCAATAAAAAA